TTCTGTTAGAAAAATGTTTCAGGAAGTGGCAAAAAGACTTTCTGGAGACAGACCATCAGTGAGAATAACTGAAAACAGCATACAGTTCTCATGTAAAAGCAGAATGTGTCTTAGCGATATCCCGGAAGCCTCTCCCCACTACCCGCATATGGACTATAACATTCCCAGGAGCAGCTCCCCAGAACTGAAAGCTCCCCAGAATGTTTCCCACAGGCCGCAGGGTGCTCTACGCGGCCTAAGGTGGCCAGGTCCTGACACCTGGGGCTGGGCTTCATGGGTGGAGAGGCCTATTAGACCGCTGGCCGGCCACGTGGTCCAGCCCGGCTCATGGCCCGGGAGGACTCTGCTCTTCTCCCTGTGGCACGGCCAGGGAGGAGAGGCAGCCCTCCTGCCCCCAGAGGCCCCACTTCTCAGCTCCCAGCTTCAAGGTCAGAGACACAGGGAGCCACGTTTCCCCAGTGGGAGAGGTCACGGCACTGCAGGCTCCCGCAGGGTGTGAGCCCATTTCTCCACCAGGCCTGGGTGGGTAGGTCAGGCTGACGCTGCTCCGTCCCAGAACCACAGGGAGAAAACTGGGAATGGGAAGTTCTGCTTACACTGCGGCCTGGCCTAGCTGCAAGCTCCCACTCAGCTTTACCAGAAGGTCCTGCACAGTGGGTAGCGAGCACCTAGTCAGCCCTTAGCGAAGCGGGCTGGTTTCCCAGGAGGCTGTGTTCCCTGTGCACCCATCCCTGGCAAGAACCCCGGGGAGCAGGAGGGGTTTAGGCACCCAAACCTGCGCTCCTCCAACACTTACCAGGGCTCAGCCCTGGGGCTTGTGGCAGAGTTCCCGCTTGGCAACACCCCTTCCCAGGCCTGGGACTCGCAGGGCCCTGTGTGCTTTCCCCACCCTCGCTGCTTCTGCAGGGAGCCACGCAGACTCAACTTGGCCGCGGCGCTGCACTCCTCTCCACGTGGAACATTCGCTGCCGCTCTGCCGACAGTGTAAATATGGTCTTTATAGAGATGAGGTCGAGGTGCTCGCTCCACTCGGAGCCCAGGTGCCGCCGAGTTAGTGTTGGCCTGGTGCTCCCGGCAGAGCTGCCCTCTCAGAAGGGAAGCCAAGCCAAATACCGCCCGGACACTTTGCACCGTTCCAAAGGGAGCGCTCTGCCCACTGCACACTGCAAATTCAGTTTCATTGACAAAAAAGATTTCCATTCCTTATTTCAACATATCTTTGTGGCCCTCTCCTCTGAAATTCTGACTTCTAAAATATGCCTCGTGGAAAATATCTATTAGTAAATAGTCTCACATTTAGTCTTGGAAATTGAAAAGGGAATACAGTGACACGTGTATGCGGTGGGGGGTGAGGGATGAACAGCTTCAAAAATGTCAGCTTTCATGTATCAAACGAAAAAAGGGGATAACCTTCGCTGAGCACCTGCCCGGGCTGGCCTCCACACTGGGTGCTCTTGTGCTCACGAGACCCTCAGAACGGCGAGGGTCCTTTCCTCATTTTACAGAAAAAGAAACTGAGGCTCAGCGAGGAACCTGCCCAAAGTCACGCTGTGAGTAGGCGAAGCCGCCAAGATTGGTGCCGAGGGCTCCCGACTCCAAGCGTGGAGTCCTGCCCCAGCCCCACACCTCAACCACGGGCTCCCCGGTGAAGGTCACGCACGCCGTCTCCTGGCCCTCCACAATGGCATTATTCATACGTGACAATTACAGGCTCATCACTGCATGATTTATATGTTGCCATTGCAGATTTCTCGTCAAAGTAGGACGTTTTGGTTTGGCTGTTTTAATGGCTCCACATGGCAATTTTGCTGCTGCCAACTTTTCAACATTAACTGTTTTTCTGGCGAATTCTCACCCATCCTTTATGTTTCTCACCTTTGCCACTGATGCCTTTAATGTACGAAAAGGGAATGTGTTTGAATGCAAGAGATTTTGTAGAGCTCTCCTACGGGTTCTGCGGGAAGCCGTGTCTGATGTGTGGTGCTCGGAGGGGCTGATGGGTCCTGCGTGCCATGTGAAGTGCAGAGGCATACGGCGATCGTTTTGTAACGGAAAATACCGGACACTTCTACCTATTTTATTCCTACTCTCGAAAGTCCTAAAGAATCATCAGATTCATCTCAGAAGAAAAAAAAAAAAGGAAAACTACTTCTATATCATAAAAGATAATAAAATACTAAAATAGTTGAAAATGGGCAATGGGCACCAAAAGGTATGCATAGAAGAAAAAAATCACCAATAAAGATTGTAAAAGGTTTAACAACTTTACAAGGAAGAATTATTTTTTTTAACCTGGCTGACTAGCAAAGATTAAAATTAGTCCTAGGGACACAGATCAGTCAGCCTGGGCTCCCTCCCCTTGGGTTCACTCTAGCTCAGGAGGAAGAAGGGTGCTTAAGAGCGTGGGCTCTGGACACCCAGAACCCCTGGGTGTACGTGCCTGCTCTGCCCCTTACAAGCCATGTGACCTGTGCCCTCAGGTCCCTGTGCTCTGGTTTCCTCACTGTAAAGCAGGGACACCACTGCTACCGAGTAGGAGTGCCAGGTGTGGAAACACGTGGGCAGGGCCAGGAGCAGGGCCTGGCACCTGAGAAACGCCCGTGACGCACTGGCTGTTATTCCACTATTGCTCTGCCAGTCAGGACCCGCTCAGAGCTGGGAGTTCCTAACCTGGACTCTGGGGGTCCACTTACCTTCTGAGATTATATACAGAACTGTGGGAGTCTGTGCATTTTTCTGAATAGAGGGTAGCTTTCCCCAGATTCTTAAAGGAACTGGTGGCCCCAAAACATTTCAAACACTTGCCTTTTAAAAAGAGCCCTTTGTAGAAATGCCAAAGGTAAAGTGAAACCGTCAAGGGCACCAACTGAATCAGCTCAGGCTGGAGCCCCGAAGCCACCACTCTCCCTACGTCTGACAACTGGCGGCCTGCGCGCTCTGCAGGAAGAGGTCTGCCGCTCGCTCTCGGGGGCATCATTCCGCAGGCTTCTGCTGGACCCTCTGTCACCAGCATTTGCATCAAACGGCCTCTCCTGAGCTGCTGCCTTGGTAAGGAGCTGGGAGGCCTCCCAAGCCCACTGGTGCTCTGCCCCAGCTGGCGGGGACAGACTCCCATTCTCTGCCTCAGTCTCCAGGGCTTGGGCTGAACACAATCAAAACTTTTTTCTTCTTTGTGAATGCTCTTTCTGGCCTCCGCTTCCCCAGGACAGATACTAAGAGGGGCCACAGGCAGGAAGTTGCACCAGGAAAAGGAAGTGCTGCTTGTGCCACATCTGCCGCCTGGTGGTGGGGTGCTTGGGGTTCTGCCCCATCCCTAGTCGGGGGATAGGAGCTTTTCCTTGGGAGATGAAGGGTGAAGCCCCCCAGGTTAACTGTCAGCACCCAAACCGACCTTTCTTCCCAGCGCTGTGTCAGGCACTGGGGACTGAGGGATGAGCAAGACGGCTCCTGCCCCGCCAGGTCCGGGAGGTGCTCAGACACAGCAGCAAGGCCGCAGGAAAACCCACCCGAGACGTCCCACAAAGACCAAAACCCCACATCTCTCCTATTTGATCATCACCTGTGAACTAGCTGAGCCCAATCACCAGCTAGGATAGAAGGAATCTGAGCAGTGCGATCTGCACAGGAAGAGCTGACTACACCTGCCACTGGCGGGCCCCTCCACCCCCACCCCCGGGAAGAGAAAGGACAGGACTCCGCAGAGCTCAAGTCAGAGGAGGTGTGAGGGCAGCTCCTCCCTACTGGGCATCAGCGCAGCCCCGACGAGGGGTGGGACCCAACACACGGCTGTTGAAAAAATGCACAAATTAGTAGAACAAGATGGAATTTGCTTAGCACTTTTGTTCTTAACCATTCTCAATCTGGGAATATTTTGAAGAGACTGAAGCAAAGTGTGGTGATTTTATTTATTTTAAAATATGTATTTGAATGGCTGAGCCTTGAAAACCTTCTAAAGATTCTTCAGATCCAAAAGATAGGTCCCATCTTGTCCAGACCCTGGAGACTCAAGTTTGTACCTCCTCGCTGATGTGACCGGCCTCAGAATATAGGAAACCACTAGGGGAGGTGGGAGACACCCACTCCTTCTGACTGGGCTGCCCGAGCTTAGTGAAGTCACAGAGAATCACAGCGCCCTGCTGGTCGAGTCCCGAAGAGAGCTATGGGTTGGGATGTGTCCTGGGCATCATCCTTTAAGCTCATGGACCTGCCTACAGACCCCACAGAGCGAGTCCTGAGCATCTAGCCCTCAGTGGGCTTCCTTTGGAAAATAACAGACTGAGCAGAAAGGGAACCTGGTCCCCTGCAAAAGATGCTTGGAGACCAACATATGAATCCCAGAACTATCCTGAGGTCTTGGGCTACATGTCCAAATTCTGGGCCCACCCTGGGCCTGTGAATCTATGGAAGTTCATTTACTAAAACCTGCAGAAGTCGTCATGAAGCGCCGTCACTGGAAAGGCAACTTGTGGAACTGGAATTGAGGGGTGCCTGTTGAACGTGGCCCCCAGCACGCAGGAAGAGCGGTCTGGGGGAGCAGTCTGCCTGCTGGAGCAAAGCCACCCGAGGCCACACTGCACTGACTGGTGTTGCCACGTTTAGTGGGCACACATCTCTCTTTGCCAATAAAACTAACTTTTAAAAAATCACTCCAGGAACTTCCATCCAAATGATCTCAGGAATCCGGACAACACTGAATGAGGGAAATATGATCTCCCATCTACAAATGAGGGAAACTGAGGGCTGGGAGAAATGAGCAGGTCTTCCCAAAGTCACATGGAGGGAGTGAGGGGAGGAAGTGAGTCCAGGCACCCTGACCCCCTAGGCTCTGGTCTTTATGTTATATTATTTGTCAAACTTGCGAAACAAAAATTGGTCCCCTTAAACTGCAAGCCTGTGGCTCCCAGCCCAAGCCTTGCCAGAGGTTGTGCCGGCTGCAGGGGCAGCAGGGCTGCAGCCTGGTGACAGACAAGTCTATGACATGTGCACGTCTGTGTCCCCAGGCCCGTGGAGAGACTGCCTGCAGGCCCTGGAGGATGGTCACGACACCAGCTCCATCTACCTGGTGAAGCCAGAGAATACCAACCGCCTCATGCAGGTGTGGTGCGACCAGAGGCACGATCCTGGGGGCTGGACCGTCATCCAGAGACGGCTGGACGGCTCTGTCAACTTCTTCAGGAACTGGGAGACATACAAGGTGAGACTGGGCAGGACTTCTCTGTGCCACCCACAAAGTGACTGGCCCACCCCACGAGAGGTCTAAGCAGCCAGGGAATGGCCACTCAGAGGGCCACTCAGCAGCCACTCAGTGCACGCTGAGCAAAGCAGGGCCTGCGTGGCCCAGACAGCAAATATACCTGGGGCAAGAGGGACGCACATAGAGCAAATCTGGCAAAACTGCCAGGGGGTAGTGAGGACCCGTTCCTTCTCTGCCTGCTGCTACAACTGCTGCAGGCCAAGAGTTGGTAGTGCAGACCACCAAAGTCCCACAGGACAGGATGGGAGTTTAGGAATGCTGGTGTGGGGCCCTTGTTCCAGCCTAGGTGTGGGGAGCCTCTTACCCCAGGTTGGGGCTTCCACTGGGAAAGACTGCTCTTGAAGCCCAGAAGGGGCAAGTTCTGAGCTTCCCAGGCCCTAGGAGGATCCCCAAAGGGTCCATGTAGAAGACCGTGCCAATACGCGGGTCCTAATTCCAGGGCTCATCCTCTGGGCCCCCCAGTCCCCAAGGAACTGAAATGTTCATCCTCATAGTGGAAAAGGCTGCTAGGGCCCAGCTGTACATGGCTCTCTCTCCTCTAAACAAAGAGGTGGTCCTAAGGACAGAGAGGGTGGCTACACTTACTGGCTCCAGCTCCGTGCCAGGCACCGTGCTACGTGCTTTCATGCATCACCTCACTTAATCTCACGTCAACCCTCTGCGGAAGCCACTCTCATCAACCCAGCTCACAGGTGAAAAGGTGAAGTGACTTGCTCAGGGCTGCGAAGCTAGGAAATGGGAACACAGTGACTGCAGCTTAGGCCTTCTGACACGAAACCCCACAAACTGCCTTCAGCCATGATGGCATGCACACGTGGCTGTCACCCCCCTTCCTGGGTCTCCTCCTGTCCTCCATCCTACCTCCTGACAGACCTGTGTCTCTGCTTTCTCCTCCTTCCCTTCCTCCTCCTCCTCCTCTTCCTCCTCCTCCTCCTAATTTACAGGGTCCTGAAGTCTCAGGCCTGGCTCTTTCCTCCTCTCCCTCGCAGAGGCAGTACAGCACAACGGCTGAGACTTGGTTCTACGTGCAAATCCTGGCCCACCCTCAGGCGCTCTGTGACCCTGGGCTTCGGTGCACTCATTCTAGGGAGGATGGGGATGGTGCCTAGCTCTTAGAGTTGGCATGAGGCCTAACAACACAACCTATGTAAGGTGTTTATAACAGTGCCAGCACACCACAAGTGCTCACTAAATACTAGCTATTGTTATTATTATCAATGAACCACCCATTTTCAAGGCTTCAGTGGCCACACTCAGCTGATGAGTCCCATACTACATGTAAATAGCAACAAAACCATTGGGTTTCAGTCCTACAAGGGAGGCCAGCTGGATGGGACACGTCTGTTACAGCTCATACCTCTCTGGTGCATTACAGCTTGCCCGTGACCCTCACACACAGCCCCTCCCCAGAGGAGGCGGCTGAAGCTCGGGGAAGTGAAGGGATTTTCCCAAGGAGTTGATGGCGCGCTCCGGTGTGCCAGGCTCTCACAGCACACGGTTGGCGCAGCAACCCCCGCGTGGGTGAGGAATGGGCTCGTGTGGGACCCGGCATAGAGCAGGCTGTCTGTGTCTTTGAATGGCATGTGATTGAGGCCCAGAAAGGTGAAGTGAGTCATCAGGTCACGCTGGGGAGTGAGGAGTGGGGGCTGAACCAGCCTGCCTCGTGCTGTCCTGTTTCCTGGGCCCTTCTGTGCAGGGCTGGGTGTCCAGCAGCCGCTGCTCTGCCGGCCTTGGGTGCCCCAGGCTCCACACTAACGGTCTCCTGGGCTTTCCCCAGCAAGGGTTTGGGAACATCGACGGCGAGTACTGGCTGGGCCTGGAGAACATCTACTGGCTGACGAACCAAGGCAACTACAAACTGCTGGTGACCATGGAGGACTGGTCTGGCCGCAAGGTCTTTGCAGAATACGCCAGCTTCCGCCTGGAGCCCGAGAGCGAGTATTACAAGCTGCGGCTGGGGCGCTACCATGGCAATGCAGGTGACTCCTTCACCTGGCACAACGGCAAGCAGTTCACCACGCTGGACAGAGACCATGATGTCTACACAGGTAGGAAAAGTGGAGTCAAAGCCCAGAGCATGGCCGGGAAACAAGGTCAGCCAAAGCCAGGGCCCCTGATTCCAGGGTTGGGAAGGGGAAGATGCGGAGCAATGGGTAGCTGGGCCAAGCTGCCTGACCCGTTCTTACCCCTGAAGGTCCCTTTATCTGCCCACAGAGCCCCTTCACAAAGGTGGGTCGGAGTGGCATTTACAGAAAAAAAAAAAAAAAAAAGAGGTATATAGCAGGGCTGCCCTGGGTCAAGGCAGTCGGACACGTGCTGGGCTGTGGCCTTGCGACCTCTGGTCTGAGGCACCTGGCGTAGTGCTACACATCCCCACCAGCCCTGGGCCATACACCCTGGGCTCCAATGCCAGCCCCACCTCCTACCCGGCCATGTGTCCTTGGGCATGCTGGTTAATCTTCCTGGGTCTCAGTTTCTGCATCTGGAAGTAAGGACAATAACTACCTTGCAGAGTAGGGAGAAGGTTAGAGAGTATGTACGTAAGGTGCTTTGTCTAGGACTTGGAGTATAGTAAGGGTTCAATAAAGCGGGCTCTCTTTGTGGTTACATTTATCAGCATTCACGTTCATGCAATGCTGTAAGGAAGCTATAAGAGAAAACCAGATAGGAGAGATGAAGTGATCTGTCTAAGATCATAGGCTTCAAGTCTAGGTCTTTACTAAGAAGTCTTTATTAAATAAAAAGCAAAGAAGAAAACAGAAAATTATAAGCAGCACAGATATGGTCCAGCCCTGAGTTCAGACATGAGACTCCCCCACACTTAATGCCTCCCAAGGCCCCACACCCAATTTCTTGAGATGAGGGCCTCTGGGCCCTAACGAGTCGGTGAGGTCAGTGAGGGCCCAGGCTCCCCCATGAGGCCAACACCGTCTCACCACCAGCATCGCCTCCTGCCCTAGCTTCCCCTGCCATCATGGTCTGAAGGCCATTCCCTCCCCATTGAGGAGCAAGCTCTGACTGTCCCAGAAATGGCCTGTGCTCCAGGCAAGCCCTGGCACCTACATACTGAGCTGGGGACCTCCTCACTCCAAGTCGCCATAGTAACCACACTCTGGCAGGTAGTTCTCCCAACATCGGAGGCCAGGAGGGATATGACCCACCACCATGCAGACACCTCTGTTTACCCACTGACGCTGAACTGCCTCTGCTCGAAGGTTCCCTGGAGGAGGAGGAGGCCCTTGCTCTGAAGCAGTGGGTCTCCTAGGCCAGAGCTACCGAGGCTTCCAGAAAAGCAAGGCGGGAGGATGACCCCCAGAACTAGTCAGACCCTGGGACATGAGGACTGCTAAAGCACTTCTTGAGGGCCCTCCCAGGGAGCAGGCAGAAGAGATTCCACAATCCAAAACTGTCAGATCTGTCCAGCAGCAAAATCTGTGGGCGGTGAGGAAGTGAGCTCCTAGTCCCTGGAGGTGTGTGGGGCGAGAGCAGGACAGGCCTCTGCTGGCGACCAGGAGGCTGACGATGGCCTGCGTCCCCCTCTCGCCTTCTGCCTCAGCCCGCCCGTGACCATCTCACCCTGGCCCATGACCTCAGCCACCCAGACCAACGGACCCTCCCTGAGGACGGGTCCCCTCCCCAGGCCTAGGGCCGAGTCAGGAAACTGGGGACCCCACAGCTAAGAGCAGCCCAAGCGGACAGCGGCTCCCCTTGCTCCTCCCCGTGGAGTGCGACGCCCGGCATGCACCTTGCCCACGCGGTTTACTGTTGTTCTGAACTGCCTGTCCTTGGCAGCAAAGTTCATGATGTGATAATGCCAAGAGTTTTATGGAAATATCTTTCTTTTGTGAAATAATACAAAAAATTTGGATGGAATACAGGCTGGGGAGCAATGAAGGAACATTTCTCCTTAAACACTTTGTCATTCTATAAAGACTCTTGATCCAACAGTTTCGACTCTTAACAATTCCCAAGAAAAACCCTTTCTCCCTCCCCAGCCCACCTCAGGCCTTCTCCCCAGCAGAACCGCGGTGCAGGGTCCTGCTGGGGCCTCCTGTGCATCCAGCCCAGCTCGCACCCAACAGGCCTTCACTGAACTCTCACAGGAGTCCTGTGCGGCAGGTGTCATTTTATTCTCACTTTACAGACAAGGATACAGTGGCTGGGAGGGGTTACGTTGCTTGTGTGAGGTCACATAGCTAAGCCAAGCCTCAAAGGCAGGCCTGGGCAGGTCCGAAGCCCGGCCTTCCGCCTCCCCTTCAGACCCATTCACCTCTCTAGCTTCTGGGTCCAAATGCCTCTGGAGAGGGGCCTGCCGAAGCCCCACGCAAACCACGGACGGGGGTAAATCGACTCCTCCCACAGACCTCCTCGTTGCCTTCTCTTCCGCAGGAAACTGTGCCCACTACCAGAAGGGAGGCTGGTGGTATAACGCCTGCGCCCACTCCAACCTCAATGGCGTCTGGTACCGCGGAGGACATTACCGGAGCCGCTACCAGGACGGGGTCTACTGGGCGGAGTTCCGAGGAGGTTCCTACTCGCTCAAGAAAGTGGTGATGATGATCCGGCCCAACCCCAACACCTTTCACTAAGCCGGCCCCTCCTGACCTCTCGTGGCCAGTGACTGGAGCCCACGCCGGCCACACTGGCCCCAGCACAAAGAGCAACTCCTCACCAGTTCATCCTGGGGCTGGGAGGACCGGGACACTGGATTCTGTTTTCCCAAGTCACTGCGGCAGGTAATGGAATGGAACCGATACTGGTACAGTGTTCTCTGTCCCTCCTCCTCGTCTTCACACCAGACAGCCCCTCATGTTTTCAGGACAGGACTGCAGACAACTCTTTCTTTAAATAAATTAAGTCTCCACAATCAAAACACAACTGCAAAATACCCTCATAATATACATGTGTATGAGCCTCCCTTGAGCACTTACATGTATACCCATATATATGCATTTAGACATATATCACATGTGATATAACTAGATACATATATATGTTTGTCTTACATACCTAAATACACATATAGTCAATTCTCAGATGTGGAAGCTGTTACCAACAGCTTTGCTCTTAGGAAAAAGCATTTCCTTAATGTGTTACTTGAGTCTAAGGACAGATCACAGACTGTACAGTCTCAACTCTTAGAATAATCCTCCCATCTGCATGCCTGGATTCTTCCAGGACTTTTTATGATGCTAATCTCTCATAGAGGGGTTCCTGGCTTCCCCTCTTAAGAAACCCTTTGGGCACCTAATCAATTTCAATATCCTCCTCCCTCTCCACTTTTATACTTCTCCCTGTTCTCAGGACTTTTCCCCATCTACCCACCCACTCATTCATTCATCCTGCACCATTCATTCAGTGCCCTCTGGGTGTCAGGCCCTGGCCACTCACTGCAGTTCGAGGGCCATTTTCTGCTCTGTCCTACTCCTTGCCTGCCTACTCTTTGCCCTTCCTGTCACAGTCCTTTCTGTCCAGGCAAGATTCCTCAGCCTCTGAGTAGGAAACTGTCTGGTCTCCAGGCTTCTGGTCGGGAAAGGGAAGGCCAGGCCAGGCCAAGAGCTACACCAGCCATATAGATAACGTATCCGCAGTTTTGTATCTTCCGTTCATACTTTAGCCTACATGTCATTTTATCCTTCACGCAAGTAATAACCTACCTTGCCAGGAGATACTCAATTGAAGAGAAGTCATCAGATCATCAGGGCCCCCAAATGGCTACAGACCAGAGGTCCCACGCTCTCAGGCCAGCTAGAGCCTGCACCTCATCCCCAAACTATACTTCCCTGGAGAACAGGTGCCACAAAAACAAGAACTGGCCACTTCTCATGAGTTACTGAATAACTGGGTCACTGGACCCCTTGGTTGGGGCATTGCAGCACGGTGGCTTTCTGAGTCCTGCCCGCCACGAAGCATCAGCCTCAGAACTCCCAGGACTATTGCCAAGCAGGAGGCTAGGGATGAGTCAAGAAGGTGAGACCTTCCCCGTGGGCAGGTGGGCACATGGGCCGAGGTGTGCGAGATGTTGGATGTCTGGTACTGTCCGTGTCTGGGTGCGTGCCTATTACCTCAGCATTTCTCACAAAATGTACCATGTAGCATGTTTTGTGTATATAAAAGGGAGGGTTTTTTTTTAAAAAAAATATATTCCCAGATTATCTTTGTAATGACACAAATCTGCAATAAAAGCCATCAGTGCTATTTGGATGTATCTATACTGTGTGTTATTGTTTTAGAATGCCTTCCTGGGGCATTCCAGACCCTCTTCAGGTAAAACCAGGAAGAGACTCAGCACCAGGGCACACACCAAAATCACTGCCATCTCACTTTCCCTGTCTTCGTTTTCCACCTATACCCCAGGAGTCCTGCTATAGCAGCTCAGGCCAAGAAGGCTCTCTGAGCCCCACCTCCTCACATCCAGCTGCATCCTGGATGTTTCCACTGGACGTCCTGGAAGCACCTCAGGGCAGTGCTGTTAACACCTAAGACACCTTTCTTCCAGGTCTGGTCCCATTTCACCAAATGACACCATGAACTCAGTTGCTCAGGTCGAAAACAAGGACGTCTCCCTCCCGCTGGCCAAGGCCAGTCCATCCCTCCGCGCCAAGCTGCCCAGCCTGCCTTAGCAGAGCAGCTCCTCTCCTCTCCCTCCAACCACCACCACGGTCCCTGACCGGGAGCTCCCACCTCACACGTTCCCACCCAACTCCCACTCTGGCTGCCAGAACCGTCCATCTGTGGGTTGGGAAGGTGATTCTAGGCATGATGTGAAACCCAAAAACCAGAAAGGAAAAGACTAAGACATATGACTTTTTAAAAAAACAAATTATCTGTCTTCCAAAAAAAATAAATGACCAAGATTGAGAGGCAAGTATCAAACAAGAGAAAAATATCTGCAACATATATAGCAAATACAGAATATTTATACTATACCAAAAAATCTTTCATATTAAGAAAGATACAAACACTGTAACAGAAAACTTGACAAAGCACAGGAACACATTAGAAGACTCACATATGGCCAGTAAACAAGACAAGACGTCGCCCGCAGTAACAACCAGAGAGGTTATTGTGACAGATGAGCCATCGCACGTTGCCTCTCAGACTCGCAAAGATGGAAAAAAAACATCAATCTCCATGTTGACAAGGGAACGGAGAAATGTGCACTCGATGAACTACGGAAGGAGGTATAAACGGACTCAACATTTTTAAAAAGCAATTTGGCAATGTATATATCAAAATTTTAACTGTACTTTTTTTTTTTTTTTTTTGAGACAGAGTCTCGCTTTGTTGTCCAGGCTAGAGTGAGTGCCATGGCGTCAGCCTAGCTCACAGCAACCTCAAACTCCTGGGCTCAAGTGATCCTCCTGCCTCAGCCTCCCGAGTAGCTGGGACTACAGGCATGCGCCACCATGCCCGGCTAATTTTTTGTATATATTTTTAGTTGGCCAATTAATTTCTTTCCATTTATAGTAGAGACGGGGTCTCGCTCTTGCTCAGGCTAGTTTCGAACTCCTGAACTCGAGAAATTCGCCCGCCTCGGCCTCCCAGAGAGCTAGGATTACAGGCGTGCGCCACTGCGCCCGGCCTTAACTGTACTTATACCCTTGGCTCCACAATCTCTCTTCCTAATGACCAAGTAATACAGTTATATGAGAGCTTTTTCCTAGGAAAGTTGCAGTTAGGGAGAGACTGATGTTCATCAAAGCCTACTATGTGCTTAGAAATGGACTTCTGTTTTTTTATGTCACCTTCACAGCAGCTCCGTGAAGGAGGGATTATTATTCTCACTTTACAGAAGAGGAGAAAATGAGGCTTGAAGCCAGACTGCTGATAAGAATGCCCCAATGACACTTAATCCAGAAGGTGCTGAGAGTCAGGCACCAAGTAACACTTCTCAACTACTGTCTCCCAACCCCCTAGTCAGCTGTTGGGATCACAGCGGAATCTGGATACTATCTGATGAAAAGATCTCAACCTTGGCCCAGACCGTAGCCACCCCTCCCCACACATCTGGAGTGGAGTGTGTGGGACAGAGGCAACAGGGAGAGGAAAACAAGGTCCAACCTTACTGGTCACTGGTCTCGGGTGCAAACCCCAAAGCAGAGAGCTCTAGAGAGCCACACTGGACACTAGTTTTTCTAAACTGGTTGGGATCCAAATGAAAGCAGGACATGACACCAGCTGTTTCTCCAGACTCCACCAAGCCTGAATCTTCATCTAACCACTCCCAGGGTCTATGGAAGGACAGGAAGGAATAAGCCCATTGGAGATGTGGAACCAGCTCTCCCTGGAGTGAAATGGGAGGGGTCAGTTCACTACACCGGTGGCAAGAAAGAGTACGGAGCTGTACTCAGGTACCCTGAGCCCGGTGCCCAGTGAGTTGCTCCAGCCACTAGCAAACAGCCAGTCAGCATCCTGGGGTTTGACATAGCCAGATCAATACTCCTCCTCCTCTCCCATCCCAGACAGTGGCCCTTTTAAGGCCTACCATCACAGGAGTCCTGCTCTTACTAAGTTCTCCATGGTGGGTGCATCTGCACCCAGAAGTAAGTCAGTGAGGCCCAGACTTTCTCCTGCCCCAGACAAACCCCTGAATCCCAGTTTTGGCCAATACCCTAGTCACTTGGGGGGGGGCATCCACCTGCTGGGCTTCCTTGTGTGGGGAGCAAGGCAGGAAGACAGTGATGTGATCCAAACACGTGACACTAAACAGGACCCCCTCCCCCAAATCTTGCCAATTTGAGGAAGACTGAAAGAGAAACCTATGAATTACTGAAAACAATGGTAGTGGGAGTCTACCATGCTCAGAATCCACAGACACTCTCTGAAAGTTCAAGGGGTCCTCCCTAATCTAATATGACTTCATCTCTTTTGCACAGTCTTGTCAAGACACTGATTCTAGTAAGAGAAAATCAGACAATTAGTTTAAACAAGAAAAGGTGCATCTTAAGTGTTTAAAAGGCACTCTTTCTGCCTCAATTTTATCTGAGACTCTAAAGGCTAAGGACAAAATAGTAGCTGTACAGTATCCCACATAGTAGAGCAAGATGCAAGACCCTCCCTGCGAAGGGGGTGGCCCAAAGTGGGCTCTACGGATTTAGCTGACTGCCTATCCAAAGCCTGTGTAAGATGTGCAGAAAGGCCAGGCACAGTGGCTCACGCCTGTAATCCCAGCAACAGGAGGCTGGGGTGGGAGGATCATTTGAGCCCAGGAGTTCCAGACGAGCCTAGGCAACATAGCAAGATTCCATCTCTAAAAAAATAAGAAAAATTAGCCGGGCTTGGTAGCATGCAACTGTAGTCCCAGCTACTGGAGAAGCTGAGGCAGGAGGATGGCTTGGGCCCAGGACTTTGAGGCTGCAGTGACCTACGGTCGCGCCACTGCACACCAGCCTGGGTGACAGAAAAAAGAAGTTCAGGAGGAAGATCTAGGGGGAGAGGAAGCTATCCTTGTGATATGTTCCCCATCACCACAGGGAGGGAGGATGTCCCTTCACCCTAAATCAAGTGAGATGGGGACAACCCTAGAGACTGGCACAGGCGAGCCTAAGCAGTCCTGTCTGGCTCAGGGCTGGGGGCACGAGAGCAGGAGGAGGAGGGCTGCACAGGATGCACATGGCCAGCCCACCGAGGGGCTGAGGGGGTACAGATTCAGGCTCCCTAGGGCCAGGGGCTGCCTAGAGAGTAGCGGTGGAGGACAGGGAAGGAGCGGTAGGTGGTCAGCTGGAGGAGCAGCACTGCCCCATCAAGGGAGCTGAGTCAGAGGGGCCCAGAAGGGAAATTCTGAAGTAGCAGCAAGCAAGAGGGGAAAAGAGCTCGGGGCCTCTGGATTACCACTGGCCCCGGAGGATGGGCCCTGCCCCCTCTCTGGCCCTCCCCCTGTTCTAACCCCAAGGGCCAGAAACCTCAGTGGGCAAGTGGGGGAGGCGGCGGGGATCTGGCAAAGAAGCTGACCTCATGGCCCCCCTCCCCCCCGACTCCCAGGCCTCTGAGGCTGGTCGGCTTTAGGAGTCCAGACTTGCGATTACCACACTGGACTGTCTGGAATGATGGATTGTTAGAACAGACTGGGCTGTTTCATGCCTAACACCAGGAAGACCAAGGGGCTGCTAAATTCTCAGCTTTGACTAGGAAAAGAAGGAGTCCACAGAGTAGGCTCCAATGGACACTGGGGGAAAAATGAGGTTGATTTCTTCTTATACCTGACTGAGTCCAGCTCATTTAATAAGCTGGTTACATAAGGACACGAGGTATCTCCCAGAGTCCACGGGCAGGGACACAGCTGGGCCTCACGAGGGCCAGGAACCAGAAGCTGCCTGGAAAGCCTTCAAGAGGCAAGGCAGCAACTTTCTAAGCTCCTCTCCCTCTCCAGCAGTGTCTCTCTCTCTGTTTCCACTGCGCATCCATCTGCAGACTATTCTCTCCACTTGTCCCGGCATGTGGCACCAGATGGCATTCCTGAGTTCATGTCCTCCTGGTTTGAGTGACAGTGCCTCGACATTCCAATGCTAGCTCGCAGACAGACCGGCCCAGCTCAGGCTGGGTGTCCACTCCAATCCTCTGGGCTCTGGCCATAGAGCAGACCCAGGTGGAATGAACATTCCAGGTGGAATGGACACTGCTGCTGGGGCACAGTGCCATGGGAGAGGCAGGGGAAGTTTCCAGGTTCCCAGGGAAGGAGGGGTCATGGGCTGGGTCTATATCCCAAAAGGTGTCTAGACTCTACTCCAGCTGTTGCTGGTCCCTATCCTCTCCAGGGACCATATTTTGCCAGCTGGATAGACTCTATCCTGTTACTCACCAGATGGGGTCCTATTCCCCAGCCCTTCCTCTGCTGACCCCTTCCCTGTCCCTGAAGGCACATCCAACCCTTCCAGGCCCAGGTGAGTCAGTAAACATGATACCTGGCTGTGCCCAGATGGGTCCCTTCCTGGGTACACTGAGTTTCTCAATAGTCTCTCTGGATACAGGAGGGCAACAAGGTCTTCCTGGCTGTATTTTGATCTGGATAACACTAACATCATCTACTATCCATAGGGTGCTTTCCATGCGCCAGGAAGCATGCATGTCTCTTTAAATTCTCACAACAACCTTATGAAGTGGGGTCTATCATTACCTTCTCTTCAATATAACAGAAAACTGAGGCTCACATTTGTAAGTGGTCTGCCCAAGAGCATGCAGGCTGAGACACTCAGAATGTGAACTTGAGTTG